TCCTCCACGTCGATAACATTTGTTTTCTGAATTTTTCTTCTGCACTACGTCACGTTTTTCATTCTTCTTTTTACACTGCTGGTGTTGAAGGTTATTATTTAGTGCAAGACGATCACCACGATTGAAATTTCTTCCTCGACCACGACTGGGGCCACAACCTTTTTCACGCCTAGATTGGTAAAAATTTACCGTATTTACTTCAGCAAAAGACATAGAACCAGTAGGTCGACTTTCATGCTTTTTCATCAGTAAGTCATTATGTTGTTCAGCAACAAGGAAATGTGAAATTAATTTGGAATACTTTTTAAATCTCATTTCTCGGTATTGCCACTGCTGAAGAATACTCGAGGCAGAGAAAGCAGAAAACGTTTTTCCAGCATATCATGGACAGTGATATTTTCTCCACATAATTTCAATTGTCAGATAATTTTAAACATGGAAGAGTTATACTCACTGATAGATTTAAAATCTTGAAGTCTCAAGTGGATCCAGTCATAACGTGCCTGTGGAAGGACGACCAACTTTAGGTGGTCATATCTATCTTTTAAATTGTTCCACAATACCAGATGATCCTTAACAGTGAGATATTTCATTTTCAAACCCTCATCAAGGTGATGACGGAGAAATATCATCGCCCTAGCACGGTTGTGATTTGATGCTTGATTATTTTCTTGGATGGTGTCTGCTAGATCGCATCAAGATGAATTTTTGCATCGAGTGCCCATGATAGATAGCTTTTTCCCGTATGTCCAGAGCAAGAAATTCAATTTTAGAAAGATTAGACATTATTTTTTTAAAAAAAGGAAATTCATACCTCCGAGGCTTTTAAAGTCTTTACTTGAACTGGAAGAGACTCGTGCTGATAACGTGTTGTAAAATCAAGATTATAAGAAGAAGACAAGAGAAGTAGATATAGGAGAATACTTTCTTCTTATTCAAGTTATGTAAGTTTCATATGTATATATTACAATAGTGAATGAACAACCCTATTTATAGAGTGAGAAATCACTCCAAAGGTCACCATATTAAGTATCATAATACATTCTTATCCAAAAATGTTCATGTAACCTAGTGAATATGAATGGTTGTTCATGTACTAACTTTATGAACTATCCACTTATTCAATGTATTTACAACAACTAATAATTATTATGTTTAAATAATTAGTTTTATTTATTCACTTACATTTTATCAACAAAATCTTTTAAATTATTACTGATTAATCAATTACCTTTTAAAGTTTTTAATATAAACAATAAATTATTAAATATTAATTAAGTACCTTTTAATGTTTTTAATATAAATAATAAATTATTATTTATTAAATATTAATTAAACTTCATATTATATAGTTACCTTTTAAAAAACAAAATCTAAAAATTAGGGTTTTGATTTTAATTAATTTCATATTATATGGTTACCCAATAACTACCCACCCCATATCAAACAACATTCTTTTATCTTCTCCCAATACACTCAACATCTCCCCATTTATTAATAATTAAGAATTCTGACAACATTTATTAAGTTGTTTTTGACAGTGCATTTATTGAATGTTGCATGCTTGAGAATTTGAGGAGTTTACCTTTTTATTAAGTTAAATTAAAGCTAGATAAATTATTAGCATTACAATTATACTTCATTGCAAAATTTCTCTATTATTTGGAAATTTCTTTCAACGTATAATTCATTTTTTTTCTCAAAAATTCAAGATTATTTTCATAGCTGCATATTTCAGTTCTAATGGATAACTTTGTGTCAATTTTAATTAAACATGGTGTAAAGTGGAATTTTTCGGGTTAGTTTTTAGTTATGATTTATTTATTTTTAATTATGAATTGTTGGTTTTATTTAGTTTTGTTGTTTTTTACATTTAAAACAGTGTTAAATTTTTTTTTGTTAACTATATTATTTGTAATACAATTTGTAATTTTTTTTTGAAAGAAACAGTATGTTCTGTATAGCGTACATGAAGTCTGAAGTTTATTTTTTTAGTGAATGAAATGTGTATGAAACATGTATCATTTGTGTATGAAATTTTTTTTAATAGTACAAAATTTTGTTTTTCCACAATCCCAATATTATAGACACTCTCTATATATTGAGTTTCTCATTTGACAAGATGAAACATATCCAATTGAAATATTATTTGACTGCTTTTACATGCCCAGTTGAAAGTTTGATAGATCATTTGGCTAAAGTATTGTGTGATTAAATTGCAGGTTAAAATTCTACCTGCCAAATATGTTATGAAGACGGACGATGATACTTTTGTAAGGATTGATGAAGTTCTATCTAGTCTCAAGGGAAAGGATCCTAATGGTCTATTATATGGTGGGATATCTTTTGAATGGTCTATAATGTATCAATGTTACAATTATTTTTGTATGAATTTTGTTTGAAATAAATTGCAACTTTATAGAACTAGCTTAACAATAAATGCATGTATCACAATAGTTTATGATTGACAATATAGTTCAATGTATATTTTTAATATATAAACATTGTATGAATTATGAATGCCATATTGATTTTGATATATGTAACAGAAACCAATGATATATATATAAACATTGTATGAATATTGTATGAATAACATATAGAACACTTTATGAATGGCAGGACAGTACAGTTTTTATTTTTAATGTATAAACATTGTAAGAATTATGAATGACATACTGAACTTTGGTATATGCAACAGAAACAAATGATATATATGAACATTTTATGAATACTGTATGAAGATTACATGAATGGCAGTGTAGTTCAATTTATATTTATTATATATAAATATTGTATGAATTATGAATATCATATTGTACTTTAACATATGTAACATAAACAAATGATATATATATAGAAAACTGTATGAAACATTATATGAATACCATAAATGTCAATGATAACTACTGCACTCAATAAAACAAAATGTGTTTATAACATTCATAACAACATAATAACAAATTTAACATTACGAAATCATTGTTTTTGCACAGCATAATTTGAACATGTCTTTCTATTGTGTCCAACCTGACGGCATCTACTGCAAGTCATTTTCGTCCTTTTGAATTTCACGTAGCAAACACCTTCCATCTTTCAAGTTTTGGTCTACCCGTTGTTCTCTTTGGACCTGGTTGCAGCATTTTAGGCTCTGAAAACAGTAGTGTAAACTTACTTTGATGCATTGCAACGCTCAACACGAAACTGAACTTTTCAACAAGTCCAACATGCCTCATAACCTCCTTCAGTGTTTCCTTACTGTTGTAAACTTGATCCTCAGCAACAAATAGGCTTAAATGGTCACTTATTATATCATCACCGCCTTCATTATTCTCATTGATAACTCCTTCTAAATTCATTCCGATTAAACGAATAGAATTATTGGAGTATAGATCAACGTAATTATTTGTCAATCTAACATCACAATTTATTATATCAGTATTAATAACACAATGACATTCATTATGCATCTCATGATCTACCAAAGAGATGCACAAAGGATATTTTAAAAAGAAATCCAAATTAACCTTTTTCTGATCTAGAAAAACCTTTACCCCAACATCATTATGAATAGTAATAGGGGGACACATATCGTTAATAACGTATTTTATCTCAATAGAATTTATATTTTCTTCTATATTAAGTTGAGTTATTATTGCATTAACTAAACCAATATAGAGAGTAGACCCATCATATATGATGCCCTTCATCTGAAAATCAACATATTTTCCTGTTTCACAACATTAAAATAATATTTTAGTAAAATAACATGCATAATTGCTATATAATTCATACACACTTCATACATATTTACTATATGATTCAAGTAACTATATACTAATCAATTCATATAATTCATACACATTTAATTATATCATTCACTAACTTATACAATACTCCAATTAAAGATACACAATACATTTTAAAAACAAAATTCATACAACAAAATACTTTATAATTTAAATAGAAACAAAATTTTGTACTATTAAAAAAAAATTCATACACAAATGATACATGTTTCATAGACATTTCATTCACTAAAAAAATAAACTTCAGACTTCATGTACGCTATACAGAACATACTGTTTCTTTCAAAAAAAATTACAAACTGTATTACAGATAATACAGTTAACAAAAAAATTTAACAATGTTTTATATGTTAAAAAACGACAAATCTAAATAAAACCAACAATTCATAATTAAAAGAAACAAATCATAACAAAAAATTAACCCGAAGAATTCCACTTTCCACCATGTTTAATTAAAATAGACACAAAGTTATCCATCAGAACTGAAATATGCAGCTATGAAAATAATCTTGAATTCTTGGGGAAAAATATGAATTAAATGTTGAAAGAAATTTCAAAATAATAGAGAAATTTTGGAATGATGAATAATTGTAATGCTAATAATTTATCTAGCTTTAATTTAACTCAATAAAAAGGTAAACTTTTCAAATTCTCAAGCATGCAACATTCAATAAATGCACTATCAAAAGCAACTTAATAAATGTTGTCAGAATTCTTAATCATTAAAATTAATTGCTCATTATCACTTTATCTACTTAATTTTTAATAACAATTCTTTTCAATAAATTATAATTAACAATATAATTACTAATAAAATGCTATAGAGTGAGATATTAAATACTACAAAATGAAATTGAAACTCTAATGCATAACTTGATAATAATACTACATATAATGTTATATGTGAAATTTACTCCTAAATCTTTTGAAGAACATTACAAAATCAATTTGGGATCAAGAGTAACTGAATTGCAACATTTTATTTTAACAGGTCAGGGTTATTACCTAGGACTCTTCACTTACGATGCCACCTGTGTCAGATTTCTCCAAGAATACACTACTTTTAGCAAATTCAACACGTTGACATTTTTGAAAAGTCCGAACAACATAGGTCGCATTTATATTGAACAAGGCCAAAGGGGTGGGGGAGGAGAACAAGCAAGAAGATAGAAATGCTTTGTTTCTGCAAAATGAATGAGAATATGCAAATAACTAAGTACTCCTATATACTTTTTTTCTTGTATATATACATAAGATATCTTGCCACTTTGTGTTGCAACAGTACATAGAGACAATTTCTATAAGGAGCATTTGCAACATCTTACACATAATAGTTCCAATAGCTATGCCCAAAAAAAAAGGGATGAGTTACTGTGGAACTTTTTCTACTTAAATTAGCTCATACCATGAAGTGAACCATCTCCTATGGCTAGCATTGCCCTGCTTGATAGAAATACTACATATATGGTCATAAGTCCCAATCCCAATGACTTGCTAGGCCGCATATCGTTCCGAGGTAGCACAATGAGTGCCCAAACAAGTGCCAACATTAGAAATCCCATTGTGTAATACAAGCTATCATCTCTTGGAAGGATAAAAGGTTCTGGCCTACTCGACAAGGCTCCAAGGAGCATGGAGATGCCTAAACCAGCAAGGGTGTTGAACATAGGACCTGCATAACATCCTGACATGGCAATCTGCACACCATCTGCACTATTATTTGCTATTGCAACATTTGACATTAAGTCACCCATAGAGTTTCCCCATGCCAAGACGGTTAACGCTAGAATTGATGGATTGACACCAAAGATAACACCAAATGCCACTAGCAGAGCCACTAGTTCATTTGCCACGATATAGAACCAAATAATACTCATAAAGAAGCCTCCCAAGAGCCATGGAAACAAGAATCTTTTAGGCGGATGATCAGCTGAGGTATAGACAAATGCAACACCTCCAAATATACCACCAACTACAGCACCAACAACATATGCAGTGGTAGCAGGGCAACTCAAATTGTCCCGAGTGTTCCAAAGGAATGCTAAAAGCAAGGGTGCCAAAGAAGCACTAGAAACAGCATACAGTTTTGACCATCTGTCCTCATCAACAATGGGGATGGTTAACCTTCTTGGGAGTGTCAATGGTATTTCTAGCAGTGCAAACAACTTAGAACAGGATAAGGAAGAAGACTGGACATCGACATCATCATGTTCATTCCAACCCCACAAATCCATTGGACTATTTCCTACAGAATTATCCTTCACAACTTCATCAGAGAAGATTGCGACATTTGAAGACCACATCCAATGTGGCAGCGGAGCTTGTAGCTGCAGCAATCCATCTGCTGATTCCGGCCCACCTAAAGAAGAATCGCTCTCTCCATCTATGCTACTCGATGTAACTGGTAACAAAGGAGCAATTAAATCCAACTTCAAACTAGTCTCGCGATCCCTAAGCATCTCATTTGCAGCAACAAAAGCAGCATACACCAAATAAATAGAGATAAAGGCAACAGCACCTAAAACCGCCACCTTGCCTAGACTCAGAAGAGCAAGAAGTGAAAGGAGAGCTATAATAAAGAAACAGACATCCCTAATAAAGCACTTCTTATCAATCTGTATACATTGTTCTGCAACACACAAGGAAACAGTACCAACTACAATACATGTAACAAAAACAGCACCACCAAGAACACTATTCAACCCCACCTTCCCAGAATCACTACCCATAAAAGCAGCAATACTAGCGAACACATCAGGCGCCCCATTCCCTAAAGGAAGCAGAGTAATTCCTGCTACAGTTGGGGGCAATTTCAACAAATTTGATAGCTTTTCAAGACAACAACAGAAGTAATCAGCAGCAGTATTTCCCAAAAGATAGAACAAAGAAATCAACCAAATAGCAAGAGTGACATATCCAAAAATACTAAAACCTTCACAGGTACAGTAAAAGAAGAAAAGATAATTCAAGAAACCCCCTGAATTACAATGAGGATTTGCCTTCAAGTAGTCACATTTTGTACTGTAACCTTGATGTTTATACAACCCACCACATAATTTGATATCCCTGCTTTCACCCAAATGATGATAACTCAAACTCGTTTCCTTTCTAACAGCACTAATTTTGAAAGATTTCTTGGAAAGTGGACTTTGAACAACATCTTCTCTACGGAAGAAGAAAACAACCAATACCGACAAACAAAGCCCATTGAAAATTCCACGAAACCTGGACCGTTTCCGACAGTAAAACCGATTGTCTGTATCCATTTATTGAATTCTTGAAAACCCTCCACAAACTAAACAGGGGAAAAGGACAAAAAAATCTTTGAATCTTATTGATGGAATTTGGAGAAAATTTTTTCAAGTGGGGTTTGAAGATTGAGGAATTTGTAGGTAAAATTTTAGGATATTCTTTAGGTGTGAAAACAAGACATGGTAAGAGATGAAGAAGAGAGCAAGAAAATAGGGAGCCATGGAAGCGGTCGCTTTCTACAATAAATGGGCCACCACTTCCTTCAATAAACTTTGCTATACGATGCCCAATCATACATACAATACATAATACTACCAAAATTAAATTTCTCCAATTTCTTTAATAAAAAAATTAACATTAAAGTGATAATTTTATTCTTTGATTTTATTAGTCGTTTCAAAATAGAATAGTACTTACACAAGTAAAGATGTAGGCCGAGTATATAACCTATTGTCTTTTGTACAACAATAATTATTTACTATACAATTTTCTATGTCCAACAATATTCTCTCTTTTATAAAATCAATGAATAATTTCACGCTACTTAATGCACCTTTTATCATAGTTATATTCATTTTATATCACATAATTCAAGACAATTATATTTATTATACATTTCCTTCTATTTCTTTTTTTTTACAAGAATAAATTTTAAAATTTTATTTTTTTAAAAAAAAATTTGTGTCAAGCCAAGCTGAAGACGAGAAAAGTAAATTGTCTCAATATAACACATCCTTTTAAGAATAAAATGATTAAAGATATAATTTTTTACCTTTTAGATTATTTTTTATCTTAAAAATGAAAGATAAATCTAAATAATTTATCTATTTTGAATTATAAAATAAAGTTTTAATTATTCATTGAATATAATGATTTATTTACTTTAAACTATAAAATAAACGTCAACAATTCACTCTGAAATATTAGTATTAAAATTCAAAATTCCTTTTTTTTTCCTAGTTGATATTCTTTTCTTTTCCACTAAGACTTTCTTGTAATTGTCTTCTTTAAATTTAAGTTTGCGTGTGTCGGTTTTGAAAACAGTGGGAACAAAAAGGTTTTTTTTAATTATTATTAAATAAAAGTAATACTAAAGCGACTTGTTGTCTAGACGGCAAGATACAGACATTTTTTCCAAAAATAAATACTACAAAATAGTCATACATTTTGCTATGATTACGTATTAATTCAGTTTTAATTTGACTTCATTCAACAAATTATACGTCAATAAATATAAACCTAATGTAAAAAGAAATTGAATTTACCATGATATATGTGGCCTCGTGGAAGAAAAATCAACAGAAAAAAAGGTAAACTAAATTTCTTTATATTTTTTGGATATTGAAAAATAATGTGGCCGAGAAAAAGAATATATTCTTATTATTTTATATTGATAAACGTGAATGAAGAGTAAACAATTAAAAAGTTAAAATGAAAATTAACCACGTGTTATTTTAGAATAAGATATTTATATTTAATTATTTATGGACCTTTTTTCGCTTTTCCTTCATTTTTTTCCCACTCTTTCTCTCCCACAAACAGATTATCTACGTATATAATTTTGAGCCCCTTTTTTAATTTTATTCTCTATTATAAATTTTGTTTATTGGTTTAGCTTTTTATTCAAAAGTGATATTTTTATTTTTAATCTATCAAATGATAATAAATTATTTCGATGAAAACACTTTCACTTCTTTTTACTAAATTTGTAGAACAGTTGTAAAATTTGAGAAAGAAAAATTTATAATAACAATAATAATGATGATGATATCTCATGATGACTTGTAAAGAAAAAGAAGTTGGGAGTGGTAAGATTGTAGATTATCTAGTGATAGACGATAATGAAATGACATAAAACAAATCGATAAGAATGGTGTGAATATGATTTTTTTTGGTAAAATAAGTAAAGGAGAAATATAATGATTTTATAAGAAATAAACGGATGTGAATCATATTATACATTTTAAATTAATATTAAATTTATTTTTAACACGTATAAAAGTATAATAATTTAATTATCAAATTAATTTGAATCTAAAAGCAACTTTTTAAATAACTTCAAAATATGAACATACGAAAACTTATACTATTAAATTCCTATCTTCAATATTACTCATCTTAATTATAACTCTTCCAATAGAATATTTAATGTCTTCTTCCAAAAATTAACAAAAGGATTTCTGTATGTGGATCAATCTGATGGAACAAGCTCAATATGCTATGAATTCTTCAAATGTGTAAACTTGTGACACACTTTTGCTTCAACCAAAAAAGGGATAATTTGGTAATACTTTTTTGAGAAAAATTAGTATAATTATGAATAAAAAATATTTTTTAATTTTTTAAATTATATAATAAAATAATTTATTTATTTATAATATTATGATTAAATAAATGTGCACAAAGGATGTTACATTCCTTTTTTTTTACCGGCATAAGGATTTTTTCAATTAAAATGACGATATTGACTAGAAATTACTTTTATCTTTTAGAGTCGTATCTTAAAATTGAATTATGGTGTTCCAAGTCACATTTTTTTTTAATTCCCCATCATACTAAAATAACTCTTAATGTGATCTGCGAACTAGAAATTCAAGTAAGGAATTATATTCACCGAAGGAAAGGTATTAATCACCTCTCAAGTCTCATGGTTCTAGCGGGATCGTTTTTATTGACTTATACTTTTCTTAACTATTTTTGGATATATTTTATATACAAAAGTTTCGCTAATATTTTTATTGTAGAACTTTTATTTGGTCTCGACTTAGATACGTAACTGCTTTTTTTGTCATGACATTTAGAGACATAACTGTCTTCTTCGCATCACACCTAATAATTGTCTATTAGTCTTATTTTAAATTAATAAAGTTATTTATATTTTTGAACAAGATGAGTCACTGCATCCTTGAGTCTCTTTTACTATCTAAAAAAAGATGTATAATCTTGAAATAAATATTTTTAACATTCCTATAACTCATCTAGTCATTTAAAACAATTTTTTTTTACATAAAACCAAATAAAGTCAAATAAACCTAAATATTGAGTATACAATATATAATTCTGACATCATTTCTATATCTTTTATCTTATATTTTTATTACTCATAAAATTAATGTTAAAATTAAGCATACACTTTTTAATCCAATAAACTAATAACAAATTATTAAAATAATTTAATTTGTGTTTGATTAAATAAAACAATAATAATTTATATATTTATTTTTTATCCTAACTATCCTACTTTATTATTATTATTATTATTATTATCTAAATCAAGATAATAATAATGTCATGACCCATTCATGTTTAAGGGATCACAACTTACGAATAATAACAAAATAAATAAATAAAAATAATTATCAATTAAAGCTAACTTCATTAATTAAACAGAGACATAACAGTTAACAAATTATTCATTTCAATCAAGTTATCAATAAAACAAAATATAAGAAAACTTATCATAAGTTATACCAAATTTTATTAAAAAATTTAAAAAATAAGGTGAAATTGAGTATTACAGTATCTTAACTGAAGCCCGATTAAAACACCCATAAAACATTTGTAAACTGTATGTAGGTATATATATATATATATATTGTACTTGTACTAAAGTAATAGAAATGAAAAAAAAAAGGTGAATGTTTTATGGTTGTTTTGAAAGAAAAATGATATAAAATGGAATGTTTCCTTTTTTTCCCCCTCTTTTCTGGCATGATTTTTTTAATTTTCTATGTGTTTTGTGTTGTTGCAAGTGATGCTGATTTTTTTTTCCTCTCCCGTTTGTTTTTCTGTATGTGTAGGTGTGTCTGTTATCCCCTTATTTAGAAATGAGAGTGTGGGTGTACCAACACTGCACTCTAGAGTTGTACAAGAAATTCTGTTAGTTGTACTGAACCATTTGAGTCATATTCACTAGAAAATAAACACATGTACTACATATGTCAACCTCCTCTATTTTTCAATAATTTTGCTTTGGTTCTTTTTTTTTACTTTTTTAATTTTTAATTCTCACTCTTAGCAGAGAAGGAGAAGAACAGACTTGGAAATGGAGGTATTACATTTTTGGAGGGGAAGAGTGATTGGTGGAAAATTAGAGGTGAATGATTCTTGTCCGAGCTGATGCATCAATTTGATGACGAAATTTCAAAGACCAGACTTTGTCCGTGATTGTTTCTGCTTTTGTGTTTTATATGCAGTATAGTTATATATTCTGAGTTGTGATTCTTTTGGTATTTAAATTCTACTGTCTTTCATTATACATTTTGTAGTTGCTGAGATTTGATATTTTCAAACTAATTATCACTGATTTTGTGTTATATGCATTTCATTTAAATATTCTTACTCGTGATTGTTCTTTTACCCGATTGATTTTTACCTTTATTGTCTTCATTATGCATTTTGTAGTTGTTGAGACTTGAAATTTTCACATTATTTGCTACTGATTTTGTGTTTTATATCCAATTCAGTTATATATTCTTGCCTGTGATTGTTCTTTCTGTTTGTTTGATGTTTAGCCTTGTGCAGTACTGTAGATAATAAAATTCGCGTCGAGAAAACAATAATCAAGAATGGAAGATTATAGCAATAATCGATGTTATTATTTCAAATGCGAGTGTTACAATCTCTATGATTCCTCTGAATTCGTCTTTTCAATATAAATTCAATGGCTTTAAAGCTTGTTCTTGAATCTCTAATGAACTTGAACTTGAACTTTATTTTGATCTTGACTTTTATTTGAATTCAAGGGCTTTGAGCTTGTTCTTGAATTCGATAGTCTTGATCTTGATCGTTCTTGAACTTGAATGCTTGAATTCTTAAACTTGTAGCTTTGTAGAGAATTAAATGGCATTTGTATCACATATTTTCTCTAGCTTCTTGTTTAGAATTTTCTTTCTTCTCTTTTTCTGAATTATGAGACCTCTATTTATAGTTTTAGAATAGAGGAGTTGTGGTTGGAACAGGACTCCCTTCGGTCAATCAGATTTAAGTGAAATATCATATGGGCTTTATGGAGCAGACTTTAATTAAATTCATATTTATCTGAATTTAAATAATTAAATCAATTATATTAATCCATAATATTTATTTGAACTAATATATTCATTAATTTAATATAATCCAAACAACTTTATAAATTTATATTTAATAAATTTAAGTGACTATAAGTACAATCAAGAAAATACATGCTTTTGATGAGCTAAGCATGACGATTACAACATTAATGTCTTAAGCATTGAACACATTTACTTTAGAAAATCTGTCAAGTATAGGATAACTCA